ACACACACACACACACACACACACACACACACACACACACACACACAACCCCGCTGCTCCCCAAATAACTTGCAAAGAACCACAGCAGAGGCTGCAAACAAACATTTAACACTCAGCCACACAACGATCGAACAGCACTGCTGACCAACACTTCATTTCTAAGGGTTGCCTGACAGAGGAGACAGAGAGAGAGAGAGGCAGACAGAAAGACAAGAGGGACAGAGAGCAAGAGAGGGAGAAAGGAAGAGAGCGAGAGACAGAGAGGAGCAAAGAGAGAAGGAGAGAGACAGGCAGAGAGCGAGACAGGGAGAAAGAGAAGAGAGGGAGAAAAAGAAAGATAGAGAGCAAGATAGAGAGACAGAGAGTGGGAGAGAGACAGAGAGAGAAACAGAGAGAGAGAGTTCGACAGAGAGAGAGAGAGAGAGGGGCAGTGGGAGACAGAGACTGAGACAGACAGGCAGACAGACAGACAGACAGAAAAAGAGAGAGAGTTGGGGGGGGAGAGGGAGAGAGATAAAGAGAAACAGAGAGAGAGAGAGAGACAAGGACAGAGAGAGAGAGACTGGGAGAGACAGAGAGAGAGAGTGAGATACAGATAGAGAGAGAGGAGAAATTGGGAGAAAGAGATAGACAGAGATAAGAGAACGAGAACAACATAGAGAGTGTGTGAGAGAGGAATAGAGAGAAAGGCAGAGACCAAGTGAGTGGGAGAGATGGGGAGAGAAACACAGACAGAAAGAGAGAGAGGCAGAGAGTGGGAGACACAGGGAGAGAGACAGAGAGAGAGACAAGAGAGTGGGAGACAGGGAGAGAAACAGAGACAGTTAGAGAGAGAGAGAGAGAGAGAGAGAGAGGGACAGAAAGTGGGAGACACAGAGAGATGAGGGAGACAGACAGATAGAGATAGGGATAGAGGCAGAGATAGGTGGAGCGATTGAGGGATGAAATTCTACAGCTTTGGGCCCCAGGTAGCTGAAGGTATGGGCAGCAACGGTGACAGAATGGGAATCAGGAGGATGTGAGAGAGGCCGGGAATGGAGGAGAGCAAGGATCTTGGAAAATTGTAGGGGCCAGAGGGATGTAGGGGCTGGAGGAGGTGACAGAGATAGGGAGGGGGTGTAGGGGCTGGA